TTCTTGAGGGAAACTCGGAAGTAGCCCGACTGGGAAATCTCTTCTTACAAGCTCATCATGTTTTTACAAATTGAAATTTTTGTTCAATTTTAGTCCCACCTACACTCATGAATTTATAAGTAGGCAATTTTGAACCACGGAATAATGGAAGATGATAGAATAATATATTTCATCGAAAATAAAATATGTTCGAAAAGGTAGTAATAATAAAGGTAATTTACATATGATTATATGGTTATGCAGATGTTTATACAAAGGCTAACTGTTTATCACAGCTTTAACCGCAAAAATGTCTTCTATTTTACACCATCTTAATTTCGTAGAGACATGTTACAGTGGATATCCACATCATAAAAAGTGCAGTATGATACCGGTAACAGTCGACATATTGATAGATTTTACTATAAAAGAACTGTATTGAATGTAACTTTTTGGAGTTAGTTAATATAAATAATTATAATTGATACATTGCTAGACATTATAATTAAACAAAACATTTAAAATTTTCTGTGTTCACTGATTTAACCTGTGTTCTAAACTTGTTCATAGAAATGACTAAAGCGCTCATGTTGGTTAGTAATAAAATCACAAACGATACAAAATATTAAACTATATATAATGCTAAAGATATAGAGACAAGTAAACTATGATAAACTAACAGCGAGAGCAATAGGATCTATAATGAACCTTACTGTCAAGTTTCAACTATTTTCAATAGGCACGTATTTCCGTCTTCACAAGGGGCAAACTTATAGATAATTATAATTATGGAACCCCAAAATGAAGTTTAATATTCCTTTGACTCTATCAGCTTACTACTTACAACTGTTCCAAGAGTGTTCTTCTTGACTATTGTGTATTGAGTATTGGAGAACTATCTACACGTAACCTTATCTAACAGTTAATATTATAAGATACACTTCATATATAATATGATATATACATATATTATGAATCGCAGTTATGACAAAAGAGCTAATTTTCTATATATTTATTTCTTGTTCTGTAGTATGCTAAGAAAATATGAACTTAAACGCCTGCGCGACTGCCTACCAATCTCTATGGTACTTTTTATATACAGGTCAGTTTTTTTAGTAACTAAATATGTACCTTTTTTATCAGTACTAACAATGTTAACAGTTAGCTCTACAAATAAGTCCTTACTAAAACACCGCCTAATGTACCGTTTTGCTTATCACAGTCCTTATTTAGCATTACTATCTAAAATATTTGTAGTTTATTTGTCACATCCTGGTCAATTTCAGAACATTTTTGACTTAGATTTATAATGTGACTGTAAATCTAAGTGATCGTTGATCTACCTACAAAAAAGAGCGTTCATACTTTTATCTACACCTTAGCTACTCTTTCTCTTAAGATAAAGAAAGCGACCTATACATAATGTAGTATGTATAGTTAACTTTTTAGTCAATTTAACATAAAATAGTCTAAAAATAAAATAAAAATAGAAATTTATTATTTGACAAAAACACAAAGTTACAAACACAAGATACAATGGGCCCCACACTAAGCGAACGTGGGCACCCGACAAAGATTAACAATTTACAATCTGTTATAATAAAAAATACATAGTGGGCGGGTATTAATATAAAAGAAAAGGAATATATAATTGGCATAATGATCATTTGCTGATCAGTCAAATTAATTGAAAGTATACAATTCCATTATAAAATATTTCATTTTTTAATTAATAAATATCAAAATTGTAATAAATTATATCAGCGTAAAATGTACGAACTACATGTTTGGCCGCGACCCCTGCACCGCCGGTTGCTCAGGCGCAACGTATCGCGACGCGTAAGCACTCACACACAGCGAGATGAAAGCTGGCGCCGGCCACTTATCGACTCCTGCACTCGTTCCGATTATGCGCTCGCTGTCAGCACCCGAAATAGAAATAAACAAAAAGCCCGTGAAGTTATCCAAAACAAATGACGACTGTTATATAACGGGAAAGAAAACATGTACAATATGCTAACTAATAACAATCCATTTACACTCCCGCTTTCACAAGTATAACCATAATTTGAGAAGAACAATCACTATTTACAGACTGAATAAATAACGGCTTTAACTAAGGAATTTACTAATGCAAACTGTGGTTCGAAATTTTTACGTATTTCAATATCTACGGTTTATACTATCAGAAAAACATCCATTTATATAATCCATTAATAAATTTTGCTATTTGTATCTTATTTCCAAATATATGATTTTACAAATCGTAAATCATAATTTGAGAAGATATTGACATAAATAGCTATAGTATACAAAGTGATACTTACATGGCAAGAAACTATGTCGTTCTATGGAGCTCAATCATTTTAAAAGAGGCTAGTGGCGATGGAATGATCTATGATGGGTATCTCACTTATCACATCTCCATCGCAACAATTAGAAAAGGAACTGGACTTGCAAACTTGCCCCTAGTAGTAGTTAAGATGGACATGAGTAGGTGAACATTCACGATGGTAATCCTTGGACATCTAAAATAGAGAAATGGAGACCAAGAAAATTGACAGGAGACAAACCATAGTGCTGGACTGGCGACATTACCACAGATTACAGTATTAAAGTAAATTAAGACTTATAAGATTGTGTTTGAAGTAACCTGGATTGAGAAGTAAAACTAATAATATCTACTGCTGTATCGATACTAACCCTACAATCCTACTAATATTATAAATAGAATCTGCCATAGATTTGTTAATTATATTGACGCTATATATTAAAATTTTGAGCAGATGTTATGGTGCTCACGTAGAAGGCAACTAAAAAAATTAAAAGGCCAGGTGCAGACTACATCCGTCTCTTCAAACAAAAAAAAAATACAAATGCACAGAAAGAAGTTTGGTACAAACTACATTTTCATTTTGAATGAATTTAAGATATGGTTAAAATTTTATGTTTCAATTGATCAGCGGAAATAAAACGAATTTTATGTCCTGGTGTATTTATTACCTTAGGAAACTTTATACTATCTTAGGGTTGAAAAAAGCGATTACTTACACAGTGATACGCTGTATTTTAGCCCATAACCACATGAACAAAAAACTTAAAGATTAAACTATAAGATTATACTAATTAATAATTCTTATTATATATAACGACAGCAATACTGAATCAAAAATAAATGATAGGTACTACAAGTAAAATATTATAAACGGAAAAGTTTTATGACATGCTTTGGAGGCTGTCAGTCGCGATGCGACCTAGCAAATTCAATAACCGTAGATTGATGAGGGTACTGTGGGGTCGAAATTTTTTTCCAACTTTTGTGTTTTTTCACGGGAAAAACTTTGAGATTTATCAAATTCTCTTTGAATAGGGTTCTGCAGATCATTTGAGAAACTTTCCAATGTCGCTGTCTTTCAATAAAGATCACGTAAAACTTTCAGACAAAAAGATATGAAATATATATTAAAATGTTCGAGGAATTTAAAAATAATTTAAGAATTTCATAATAAGAGTTACTTTAATCAGCCCTATTGATTTTTTCAATGCTAAAAAAACAGAAATGGACTGCAAACTTATCTAAATAAAAGCATTCATCGTATTGTTGCCGAAATGATTGCGGTGTTCCTACCTGCATCGAACACCTGTCGCCAGCTGCCATAAATAAATAAATCTGAGAAGGTGCCTCTTTGGCTGATACAGACTTTAAAAAGACATTTAAGTTTAAAACAAGCCGAGTTATAAAGAAATATTCTTATTATTTTTTAATTTTTATTCAGTATGTATTACATTTAATAGTATTACTCGTTTTGTTTATTACGTTTACTGTTTGCAAAATGTAAAGCATAAATTACAATAATTATGGCGTTTTTGCCATTTTCGTTTTATAACTAATCAAATACAACATTCTCAGCATCATACAGATAACGTTATATTGACAGATGTTCATATAACAATAGAATAACTTTCAACAATAGTATCCATGAGGCGAATTGTATCCTCTTTTACCCAGAATTCGATAGATGACCTTCATAGTCTACTACCATTTTAAATCTAAGGATGAAAAGTAAACCTGTTGTTTACATAATATAATAATAACCCACATATACAAAATTTTATTTCTAGGACAGAATTTGAAATCAGTCAAAATCTAATATCAACATTAAATATAACCGCAACGGTTAATACAAAATGAGATTGACGCACGTAAAAAAATGCTCTTTTTTCTGCGAACCTTCCCATTTGTTCTTCGGAGGGTCGGAACGAGGATATTTTGGCAACCTTATAACTTATTTTTCACAGGCCATGATAAATAGAGCGGTATGACAACATTACGACGGTAAATTTTAGTGAAGAGGAGTAATAATGGACTAGAGCATACTTTACTACATTTGCTTAATGTTTAAATTAATTTATGCGTTATGTGACATGTAAAAACAATTTGTGATTTGAAATACTTATACTCTTTACATTTTATTATACGGCAAATTTGTTGCCCAGACATATATCTGGGCAACAAATTTGCCGTCGGGTTTTTATACATTTCTCTACAGTTTTGCAACAATATCGAACTTAAGGTCCTGATACTATGAGACCTGTATGTATAATCAATCAAACACACATTTTAAAACATGCAACAATTGCAAAGATAAATACCAAGAATATACCATAACGAGAACCTTATTTTAATGAAATAACGAAATTAGAAATTGGTATGTTAATTCGTAGACGCGGATTGCATGGATGACGCATTCGGATGGTACAGGTAGCCCTTTTAACATCTTTGGGTTCAGGCCTGGTAAACGTTTTTATGTTGCCTGTACTATAACCTAATTAGAAATACTTATTCCTTTTATGAATAAAATACCGATGTAATATATAAATAATGGATATAGAAATTACATTCATGAATTGTATCGTACAGAGTAGTACAGAGTATTTACCAATTCTACAATGAATAGATATATTATAAATCATTACCATTAATTATATCAAAACTAGATATAAAAAGTATCGAGACTTACCTGTTAACAGTAGTAGAATAAGGCGCCGCATGTTTGTATCCTTGTCAAGATTTGCAAAGGTCTTAAACAGGAGACGTATATGGTGTCATCTCAAGTCCTCCACTGAACTACAAAATACAATGTTTACGCGACTCAGCTGATGCTGCCGATTGTATTCGCCAATTAAGCACACACTCGCGCACTGCGGGATCCACCGCACGCTGCAGTGTCAACGGCCACGAGCTTACGAGAAAAACTTGACACTCGGCGAAAGTTGTCCTTCGGCGTCAATTCCGCGATTATTGTCGTATTCCAGCGCGTTACTCATTCATATCGAAAGAGATCATGTGCGGAGTATAGTTGACAGTTCCCCTCTGTGATGAAAACATCACACATGGTACGATCGAGGACGAAAGCTCTCTCACGAGCGATCAGAGCGCGCGGCGGCCGACTCGCAAGTTGCGTGAGTGGGCCGGCGCGCTGAGACGGGACGGCGGGCTTCGGGGGGCGAATACGCCTGCGCACCGCTCCCGCACCGCGCCACCTCCACCAGTATTGACCGACGACGCCTTCTTCCTACATTTCACATCCTTAACTAGGTACCATCGACTCTCCTTTGAAAAATCCCCTAATTCCTTCCATAAGATTGAGATAGGCCACGTCTATGGACATGAAAACGTACCTAGATATTTGCAAGCAGTATAATTATTAATACAATTTAGATAAAACTACCATGATCTATAAATACAATAGCTAATATTCATGCTTAATTTCTAAAACTAGTGGCCTAGGTTGATAGAAATTATAAAGTGAAACTTATTCCAATCTTTTAATGTCCTTATGACATGAGTCCTTTAAATAGATAGACTCTAGGTTAAAGACCTACATATAAAAATTAAAAGAAGTACGTATTATATGATGAAATATAAACTACTAATCAGTTACTACAAAAAATATCTACACTGATTAAAAAACTATACATTCTAGAATACTAATATTTTTTTATATAAACTTTAAGAATAATGATTTTGTACTCAGTTTATAAGTACAATGCAGGACGTACGAGTATAAGCAAAAAGGTAACGAGCCAAAATTCTGCAAGTATTCTACAGTAGTAACATGAAACAAACACAACAACTTTCCCCAAGGAAAATCAAAAGTCAGAATACAAATAAAATTGATTCTTCATACACGCAAACCATGCGGTTACCACCCCTGGTCGATTTAGGGAGTAGATACGAATGGTTAAAAAATTGTATCCACATTTCAACCTCATACCTTGAAAAAAAAAATTCTAATTTTATGGATACCATAGCTGGATTACAGATTTCTTTATGCATCTTACTTGTTTACTACTCTCTTATTCATGAAACGTCAATCTAAAAAGCTTTATAACAGTTATTGAGGAATCGTTTTGTTTTCTGCGCTATAAGTACATTAAGAATTAATAATATATATGTATATGTATACCTAATTTTCAAGTAAAACACGTTAATAATTAATATAATCAATGATTATAATTCTTGTTTTATTGGAATCGTATACCATTATATAATATATATAAATTGAATATATTATTAGTTCAATATGCAATTTATAAAATATATTTTTCTATAAAATAACACCGTTCGTTGACACCGTAAATTCAATGTAAATAGGTATAGGCCCAGTTCGGAATATTTCAGATCAAAATCTTGTTTTATGTCATTAAAAGTAAGACATTAGTTTTATAAGAAATACTCCTAATTCACAATAAGGCCAGTGGCAGATCAGTATCTAGATCAGAAAGCGCAGTTAGAATTACGCCTCCATACGCATATTGATGACGTCAAATAAACTTGGCAGCATTTTAGTATGTGCATTATTTTGCGATAATCAAATAAGCTTAAATATTAAGTATATTTGTTTGTATTTTGGCACGTTTAAGAAATAATTCGGAATCCATCCCGAATTCAGAAAACTTTCTAATGGTCGGGTACCTAAAGTTTTTCTCGAAGTCACTTCCTGATTCGGAGTTACGGTATGTGCTCAGTTCAATGAGCTGAAGTTATTTAATTATAGGGATTCGATACAGAATCTGTGTTGAATTGGTACTTATTCGATGCTTTAATTCAAAATATTTAAGTACTAGCTGTATCTCGCGACTCCGCTCACGTGACTAACACATAGTCTCCTATGCGCTAACTTAGGATATAACCTACCCGTGTACAAAATTTCATTCAATTCCGTTTAGTAGTTTATGCGTGAAAAAGTAAAAATTAAACAATGAAAAAGTAAACATTAATCCATTGTTACAAACTTTCGCATTTTTTTTTTTTTATCTAACAAGCGGAGCAAACGAGCATGCAGCTCACCTGATGGTAAGTGACTACCGCCGTCCATGATTACCCACAATACCAAAGGCATTGCAGATGTATTGCCGGCCTTTTAAATAGGAATATGTTCTTTTCTTGAAGGTTATGATGTCGTATAGGTTCGGATACACTGCATTTATTATAATAATAGAATTCCTATCAGTTGTCTAGTACCCATAGCACAAATTCTGCGTAGTTAGGAAATAGATGGCGCTGTGTCATATGCCCAATAGTATTTTATATTCTTTTTAAAACTACTACAGGTTTATCGCGGTTTCGATGATACCCACTCTTGAGGACAAGCATGTTAGATACTGCACGTTACCTAATCCATTTTAAACTAACACTCGAGATCTCACTCAGTGCATTGCTTCATTCATACCAGAAATTAACTACATAAAACTATAAAGAATTATCAACAATCCTTTTCTCCCAAGCGTTACGAGGTCACCGTATGTATCATCACACCATATTATCTATTTAAAAAAATAACTACTATAAAGTCACTTGATTGCCAGGGAAAATGATTCTAATGTTTGTATCAATTTCACATCCTCCTCTCACAGTCGATATTTTAATTTGACAACAGGTAATTTTCTTAATAATAAATAGATATTATGACAAAAAATCTAACAATCAGCTTAGCCGTTGGTCCCTTAACTATTGAACAGCATATCCAACAAGTCAAAAATCAGGAATATATTTTAAGAAAGCAAATAATTTTAAGAATGATTGTATTATGAAATTTAATAATTGGAAATATTACAGTAGAAAAAGCAAGTAACTATAACTACTAATAAGAACTATATAACTAAAACGAGAAATAACTTTAGAACTAATACTCCCTAAATAATGTAGGAGATCACTAACTGTGGTATATCCGTAGTTATGTACAAACACCAATTGATATCAAAGACTTAAGTTTCCAAAAAAGAAAAAATAACCAGTTTTTTTTAAGCACTCGGATACTTACTAAGGACCAATAATTACGCAATATATGTGATTTAATAATAAAAATATTAATTATTTAGGGATGTTAGGTACTGTGTGCTTAGAATTTGACACACTCTTTCAAATAATATTTCAAACAATATACCGTGGACGAAAAAATATAAAATTATAAAACAAAAAGGATGCACGATAGTCTCACACTAGTAGATTAGAATAAGGAAAAATAGCCACAGAAGATCACGAAGGCTTCATATCATAAAAAGAAATTTACTTGGAACATTTCCTACAACACATTCGTTGTAGGAAAGCGAATGAAGAAATAACCCCGATTGGACATAAAAATAAAGTTTGGTCTCCACTGTGGTAGTCTATACGATTATTAAAAAATATTTAGTACTTTATTTTGGCATTTATGTAATTAACTTAGGTAGGTACATATATGCCAATGCTCTTACGTTAATGTCACTGTAGAATATATTTTTTCGGAAATTTCATGACTGAACTTCATAAATAAAAAATGCATGATATATATATAAAAAAAATATTCAATTACATTTTATTACTTCTAAGGTTTTATTTTATTATATAGACCCATACCGCCTTGGTGAAACATGATAAAATAACCCCACCACCATAACTTGAAATTTGTCCCATAAAATAAATAATAAATACAGTAAAAGGAAAATATTGTGGACTGAAAAGTGGTGCCAAACCCATCTCCTCCTTTATTTTAAGCTTATATAATTACCGACCCCCTTACAATAATATTTTCATTTAAATAATTTAAAGTAATTATAAAAAAGTCTGCAACACATTCGGGAAGTTTTTCTTCCCTACTAAATATGCATTACTTGTTAAGCATAATTTAAAGTTTAGAATAGCAATAAATTCTAATGTCTGCTAAGGAGATTAAGGTCTATTGGTTGTTAGCCGCAAAATGCAAGACTGTCAACTGACTCAATAAACCGTAGGCTGCTATTTCTCGTTCAGACAAAAATTGAAAGCATTTCATATTTAAAGTGCCTCCACCTAGCGATTAAACTCGGTTTTATTTAGCAATTGTACTTAGAATGAAGCGTGTTAAACATACATGTGCTCCGTGCTATACTTTCTATCCTTGGTGGTAATATCTTTGGAATAAAGCAAGAAAGGCAGGTCAACACATACACTGAACTTTTCTATTATATAATAATTATCATTTAGATGTTATTGATACATACTTATATAGATTTTAAATATTATAATAAAATATTCCTATTTATATGAAATAAAAGGTTCATTATAATTTCTTATGAATTATACTTTTGTTACCGCAAAATAACATTGTTTGTATATAGAAGATTATATAAAAAAACCTTGCTTTTTTTAGTTAGTAAATAATTTGAAATCAGACCTGACAAATATTCAATTCAAATTATATTTCTTTTTCTTTCCCTAAATTGATTACAATTTCAAATGTTCTTCAACTCCCTGCTTGACTTCTTAAATTTTATATTTTTATGATTTGGCAAACCTGCTGTCTTTTTACACCAAACTTAATCAATCTTATTCTAACATGAAAAATAAAACCATTGTTTTATTAACTCGTGTATTCCTTACATATAACTACAAAGTTTCTAAACTACTATAACTACACTATATAACAATAATAAAACATACTATGTAGCATTTAATCCTATCCTCTCCAATTTTTCTCGCGTCCAAGCTTGTATGAGTTGTCTCCTTATTTCAAAGGCAATAACAGCTGCAGCCATGCCTGTGTTAAGGCTATCGACACCTCTTTGCAGGGGAATGTTCACTCTTAATCCATTTTTTGTCGCTGCAAAACTGAATAAAAACTTCATTTATTTTTTATTTACAACACTTAAAGTTCCAAAACAGCATAGTGAAATGGTATTTTAAAATACAAACAAGCACTCAGTTTCACTTTTTAATAGGTGTTTAAAGCCCTCAATTAACAGAATAATTAAGCAAATTTCATTCATTTGCCAGGGTGGAGGGAGAGGAGGATCTCCATTTTCAACTTATTTTTATAGTGTTCAAGTCTCTATATTATTTCTTTGCCTATTTTGAGAAAATCAGTACTCCCGAGAACTTTCCAGAGTCACAACAATAGTCTGCATCCATTTTTACGAACTGATAGTGAAGTATGAGAAATTGAATTTATCAACGTTAAAACCCTTAAAATATTTTAATATTTCAAAACCAAGAAAAACTTTTTTTACCATTGAAGTGGCAAACAAGTCCACCTTATTTTAAACGATTAGCATAGATTATGATCACCTACAACACTAAGGAGATTATGCGCACATCCCCGACACTGAAGAGAAGAACTCTTTATCCCATTTTTTAAAAACCCCATGCTGTGGACACTTGGAAAAACCTTGATAACTAAAACTATTGTTAGTGTCATTTAATTACCTCTTGCTTAATCATAATCTGTTTAACTGCGGCCTTTAGAGGTAAACAGCACCATTGATATCACAGAAAATAATTTGTTTCCCATAAAGTTATATTAAATTGTTTATTTATAATTAAATTAATAACAAAAAAGATTACAACTTACGCATAACTGTCATTACTAATTCCTTCTGTCTCACCACCGATTATTAATGTTATGTGTTTAAAACTTGTATATTCAATACCATAATATGGAAGCACAGGAATATGCATTCCTTCACAGCTTTCATCTGTGTTACCCATTGAATTTTCATCCAATACTTTTTCATTACTATCAGCAATGAACACTGTAGTGTCCTGATTTAAATGTTTGGGAATATCTGTCCACTCTACAGAATTGTATATAGGCAGTCTAAAATGGGCGCCTGCAGCACTTCTTATAACTTTTGGATCCCAAATGTCAACACACCCTATAAACAAATTAGCAGTATAATAGTAAAAGAACTTTTATTATCTATGTTTAAATTATTTCAATTTCTCTCAATAATAGTTTTAAAGTAACTGTAAAGGGGAATGATATTAGATTACATACTTTATTAACCTTTCAACTGCTTAACTTTGTAGCAGTTCTCAGGCCTCTAATGTCTGACTCACATCCATTTTATATTGTACTAGAGTTTTTAGTTATTAGTAATTTTTCTATAATGGGTAATTTAAAAATTTTGCAGCCTTCTATTCTACATTTTATTTCTATTTTATTACTGTCATAGACAGTAGATTAAATGCATATATAAAACTACAACTTAAAAATTGCATTACTTAGAAATTATAATAATCCCTACCTTTTGTTAATACAACTTTTTCACATCCAGCACCTACTGCAACCCTGAAGATAGCACCCAAATTTCCTGGTACTCGTATATTGTCACATATAAACTGTAGAGGCAAAGGTCTGGAGAAACTCCTCACATTGTCAGGTGATGGTATATCAAATACACCTAAAATTCATAGTTATATAGTTATAAAACATTTCTATTTAACGAGCCATTTAATTCAAGTTTAGTTACATTTACTGACCAGCACACCTATAGGTTAGTAAAATTCTTTTATTCTATCTTTCATATAATCTGTCCATAAATTTCTATTCTAATATTTAAAAATTAACTAAAAGTAAAACTAAGTAAATATATATTAACTATTTGTTAAGTCTTCAAAACCAGCTCTAGTTATAAGTTACTCAATAGCTACTATATCACATAATGCTTATGGTTATATATATATATTTATTTATTTATATTTATATATATTAAGAGTAGTGTTTATGTATTATGTATGATTATTTATTATTGTCACATATTTTTTACTACACCTACCCTTCATATGCTCCCTGTTTTTAACTAATGGTTAGCTGGTAGAGAATGCCATATGCATTATATATTGCATTAAGCTCACCATTTGTGCAAACTTTTATTGTGCAATAAAGAATAAATAAATATGCAATAGGAATTAACAATTCCCATAATAAGATAAAGTTGTGGATCAATTAAGAAATTATCAATCTATGTATGAAATATATTTAACATATAATTAGTTAAGTGTAACCCAGTAACTTGACTTGTAAACAATGCACCTTGTTGGGTTTTATATCCTCTTTTTATATCATAATATTGTTGTTTGACCTTAAAAATTTATCTGACACCTTTTTTGCTCCTACTATATATCATATATATATGAAATATATATTGTTTGATTAAAAAGATATTTCACTTTTTTTACCAGTCTATTACAGTCTTTTATAGTCACAGTTAAACAAAAAACCACACAAACATATACATTAAAAATAGTCAAATTACCAAATATTCCTGGAGAAGTTTCAACATCAGACCAAAGTGCAATTTGTTTATATGGTATTTTATATAATTTCACCCCTTTGGAAGGCAAAAATGGTCGCAAATTATATAAGTCTTCTGTGCGGCTGAATATAACATATTTTAAATTGCATTTAGCTTCCAAACCATCCACAATCATCCGCCAACCTTCAACTAATATCTGACCTGACTGATTCCTTCCTTTTTTTGATTTTAATTTTACTAAGAGATTGCTGTAAATAAACAAATTTAAATAGGTAAGTAACATGATGAAAATCACTAATCATAACCTATAGAAATTAACAAAACAAAATAGACTCTCATAATACAACCTATTATAAATAAATTATAGTAGGTTAAAAAATTTTACCTACTGTTAATTTGGCCTAATAAACTTAAGATAGATAGATAGATAGATAGACAATTTATTTGCATTACTTACAGCACACAAATTACAATAAAAAAAAAACATACACGTAATACACAGCAAAAGAGACAAAAGAATAAAAATAAAAAAAGCACAAATAAAAAAACAAAAATACAAAAACAAAATACATAATCTAACAATCTCCTTTGTTAACATTCCTTCATGCGTGTGCCATAGTAACACAAAATGGTCACAGCTCAGTTTATTGCTTTGCCCTTAAAAGAGCAAAACACTGATATTCTGCTGTGGCCAAGAGTCAGTCGCGAAACTTTTCATTAAAAATTTACAATATAAAAAAAAATATATATATATAAATAAACTGCATTGTATGTGTCCATTATATTTGCCTCCACTTGACATTATATTCTACATAAATAAATAAATAACAGATACCATTAGATGAGGGGTAGTCAGAGATCACTTTCTGTCACATTCAGATATTCAGGCAATAAATATTTCGGCTATGTACCTATTGGGTATTCCAATTTTTTGTTTATTAATTAAAAAGATTTTAAGTTTTTTTTTTTAAATGTGTTTACTATTAGACAATCTTATTGGGGGTGGTATATTATTCCAGCATTTCGTAGCTTGGTAGCGGAAACTTCCCTCAAACGCCACAGTTTTATGAGGACGCCCTGCTAATAAGTAGCGCGTGGGTCTTGTACTATATTTGTCATGGAATGAATTAAATTGTAATTTAGAATATAGATATTCCGGTCGCCGATACTTTAAGATGTCAAATACTGTACAAGCGAGATGAAAGTTTCTCTGAGAGGACATGTTTAAGGTGGAATAATTATTTAAATATGGCGTTACGTGCGTTCTAGGCGGAATATTGTGACAAAATCTAGTACATGCATTTTGTACTCGCTGTATAAGACGTTGAGTTTTAGAATGCAATCGAGGTCCATACACTAAATCGCCGTAATTCAATTTAGACAAGATCAATGATTCACAAAGAGTGACACGAACTTCCTCATTCAGAAGATTTCTAATTTGATATAGAACTCTTAGACGATAAAAGCAGCTTTGAACTAGTTTTAGAACATGAGTCTCAAAGCGTAGTTCACTATCGATTACTATTCCAAGATTCCTAGCTTCTTTAACATAGTCAATTCTTTCCCCGGTAATATATATGTCAGGATTCTGGCTAAATATAAATTTTACTTGTTTTTCAGATCCTAGAACCATGTATACAGATTTTTTGGGGTTTAACATCATTGCATTTTTAACCGACCAATTCGCAATACGTTCAAGATCCTCATTTAATTTTGAAACACTTCCTGAGACATTTCTGCGAGAAGCCGGGATATAAAGTTGAACATCATCTGCATAAATATGGTATTTGCAATGTTGTATCTGTTTTATAAGATCAGCACTATATAAAATAAACAGTAATGGACCGAGTATTGTGCCCTGAGGCACTCCGCGCGTGACTTCCGAAGAATCAGAAAACGCAGGTCTACCAGCTCTCCCCACCAATTTAACAGTCTGTCTACGATTATCGAAGACCTGGAAGGAATTCTTTTAAGTGGCAAATTTCTCAACTCTACATAAATAACCCATAAATATTCTACTGCTGAGCCCGAGTCTCTTCACATGTAAGTATATATAGCCCACTATTATCACACTAGCCAAACCTAGCTTGGTATAGTAGGTTATTTTGAGTTTTCCCTTTCTCAAATATATTGAGAAAGAGAAAACTCGAAATACTTTATTCTTTGACCCTCTTACAAAATTCTGGAGATGAAAAGGAGTGGTGGCACATTTCTGGTCTTAACGTCACTAACTAATTAGTATTATAACAAAGAAGAAAATGTAATATGCATACTTTCAAATTATAGGATTTTAACACAGAATTAGAAATTTACCTTATCCTTCCATCATTTTCTTTTGCTTTCTCAAAAATAATCTGATTATTATCGTCAAAAACCTTAGTTTGACTTAGATAAAAAGCTCTCTTTTTTAATTTATCTTCTCGTTTTGATTTAATTTCTTGAGACTTCTCAATGTTAAAAATTTTTGATTCTTTCTCCGGCTTTTTGTTCTCATCTATAGAATCCACTGACGTTTCCTTGGATTTATTTAGAATTTCAGGATCTAAGTTAATAACTTTTTCTGTTTTTAAATTAACTTTAGATTTTGGTTCAAAAGGTAACATTACTTTAGCAGGATCTCTATGCATCCATCTTCCATAAAATCGAAATGAACTATCGGTCAATAATTGGCTAGAAATTAGTGTTTGCGTTAATAGACGACTAATATTTTTCGACATATTGTATAATTAATAAAGTATATAATTTTAATAAAAGAATAACCGGATAAAAAGAAACTACTTAGATATTTTAAAATAAACAAAAAACACATGTACATCTATGTCAGTATGACAGTATATTTCTTTTTATTTATTAATATGTCTTAGGGCTCTGGATGCAAGTGCTTTAATACTGACATTATAAAGAATACACTTTTTAAATTTAAGAATGTACCATAAACGTCATACAAGGTACTACCAAACTACCAGAGACCTGAAAAAAAATTGTAGGTAAGTAGTGTGCGAGTTTTCCTAATGTGTACACGACCTATATCTAGTTCAGCCATAAGTTTTTTTATGAAGTAATGTAATATTACTAAAATTTATACCTATATATTTATTAATCTTAGTTAAAAAATTAAAAAATATTATATTCGAAATAGCCACCTTTGGCTTTTATACAAGGCCTTTAATCTGTTTGCTCGGGGGAAAAGGGATTGTTAGTAATGGAGACTGAGAATCCCATTGCTAGCAATATACCCAACCAGGTCGACCTCCTCGCGGTTCCCCCTGGAAACCATCATAGTTAATTCCTGATGAATTCATCACGATGGGCTAACTGCCCTGTTTTCATTATCATCTATCACCCTTCACTGGTACTCCGCTAGCGTATCCCATTAGCTCAAGCGGGGCTACTATACCATTTTCACCCATAAAAAAAAAACTGTCTGGCCACAAATCTATAGATTTACGCACTTTTTCCACGAAAAATTTCGTCACTGCTTGTTCCAAAGATTTTTTAAGAGACTCAATGTTGCTGTGTCGTTTAGAGCAGGTCCTCTAAAACTGACCATAATTTGAAGTCTAAAAAAAATATATACCTATCCAAAATTGAGAAAATATACTCATATTTTCTCAATTTTGGATAGGTATATATTTTTTTGTTCGCGAAATTTTGAAAAAAATTATTCTTAGACAAAAGTGAAGACCTATAGAAATTTGAGTAATTATTTTTTTGTAATTTTGGGTAATAGTTTTAGTACTTGGTAAGTTTATAAGTATATAGAGGTATATGATTTCAGTAAAATTGCGCACAGAAATACAATAATAACAGAAGACTTTCTTTTAGTCGTTTATTTAATGCACATAGCAAAGCGTAATAAAAATAAGTTTGTGGTTGGGTAACAGTCCTGTAAATCGTATCGATTTGGGGAATAAATATAGGAGGTAACTCACATCTGGCAATCCTGATTATCAGCAATACCAATATTGCCAAAACAATTACTAATTCTTATCACTGTCATCAGCTGGAAATTTTGTGAATGCGTAATAAAATAGTGTTTATTTATAAATCGCTCTATACATTATCAAAATGGCAACAGGAGTAAAACCTCGTGATGAAGAATCACAACTTACTAAAAGCGACCTTGAGACCATACAAGATGCAATGAAGTGTAAGAAGTTTCGAGATTTGTTAACCGATTACTGCGAGGAAGTACGTGACCCGGCAAATCAAGCGTTGTATCAAAAAGAAATGACCCAACTTGAAAAGGAACGTGGCTACGATGTAACTTTCATTAATCCGAAAGGGGGTTATGTTATTAAAACTAGTGTCGCTGGCGACAGGAAGGCGTTTATCAACATTTGCAGTAACGAGAATGTTGATAAGCCGTCATGTAGCGTTCAAGAAATAAATGGCATAAAAGGTATGAACTGGTTGTTGCCGTACTCAATAATACCTCCAAGAGAAGATTACAATAATAAAAAAGAACGTTGCGTGATATATGACGTAGTGTTCCATCCCGATACTTTACGTATGGCGGAGGTTAACAAACGGTTTCGTGAGTTAGTAAACAAAACTGCTTTCGACGGTTTACAAAAAACATACAATATTCATTTCGATAGTAATAACTTCCGATTTCCAAAGTCGCATTACAAAGGAACGAGTACACCTGCTGTAATTAGAAAAGAAGATCCTAATTATGTACCACCAACAGATGAAGAAACTGAGAACATCTCGCCAGAAGTTTTAGAAAAAATGTACCCTCAGCATATCTATAATGAAAAAATGGATAAACCCACTGAAGAACTAATATCACACCAAAATCAGAAACAAAAAAGACAGTCTAGGAAAGTTAAAGAAGAATTTACTCATACTACTGAAAATGGATATACTATTCCTAAGTATGTTATAAAACAACAAAAGAATGTAGATCTTCAAGAGTTTACTAATGAAAAAGATAGTAAACAATATTCTGCTATTCCCAGTCATATAGTTATTGAAGTTAATCTACCAATGCTTTCATCTACAAAAGATTGTATATTGGATGTTAAGGAAAAATCATTGAATCTAATATCAGAAAAGCCAGCAAAATATAAACTGAACCTCACTCTGCCATACCCAGTGAATGATGAATGTGGTAATGCAAAGTTTGATAAGTCTAAGCACATGCTTATAGTGACTTTACCAGTTATAAAAAGAAGTAACAACCATAATATAAATTCTTTAAAAGTTGACAGTGGAGTTGAAAGTGAAGAAAATTCAGGTTCCCAAAGTGATGAGGGTGGCATGGATGGTTTGGTAGTTGACTTACCCTCAACTCCTGAATCTCCACTTTTAAAAAATTATGATCATCCCAGTGAAAAGCCTTTGGAAGACCCATTCTTGGTATCTTCTCTTGGATATACATTGCCATCATATACACATAATGTTATGGATGAAATTGTAGCATTTACTTTCCATGTGAAAAACACTGAACCTGATTCAGTAAAAGTAAAAAAAGATGACAATAAAATTTACATTAAATTTACTTCAATTGGTTCAGGCTTTGTTCCTGTTCACTATGCAGCTATTATTATATTTGAAGAACAAATCAAGTTTGAAAATGTCAGTGGAGAAGCATGGGATAACAATGTTATATTGCAGTTAGAAGTTGTTGGTGATGTACCTCAGAAGTTCCAAATTGGTTTAAGTGAAGACTCCTTCACTAGTGAATATTTTGATATGTCTCAGGTGAGTAGGTCATCAAAACCTAGAATTGTAAATGAAACAAAATTGGATTATCATAAAGAAGTTACAACTCCTGTTGTTGAAGTGACCAACTTAGGTACAGAAACAAATATTGTAGTTTCATCAAATAATTTTGATTACAATGAAGATAATATAGAAAGTCCAACTACAAAAGAGAAAGAGATTGTGTGGACAGAGACTGAAAATAATGAAAGCGGAGCAAAAAGTATACTCCGTAAACAAATATCTATGACAAGAAGCTACTCTGAGTCAAGTATGGGAGATGTTGCATCGTCTATGGATTACATAAGTTCTGACTGCATACCAGAAGAATCTAGTTTGAAAAAGACTGTTAGATTTAATGATGTCATTGCAAGACAATTCTACAGGTGAGTCAGAAGCATCATGTTGTACTTATTAATCAAATTTGAATTTTCCAAACGAAAAGTAATTTGTATTTAACAAATATTTAATTATATCATAATTTAGACAAATGCATAAAAAATTTAGATCTGTGAATTTTATATTAGATATATATGATAATCAGTTATAAGATTTATTTTAATAAAATCACATCATACTATTTCACCAGCAGATTCAATTTATATACAATACAAATACACTCCTCGCAAAAATTAAGGGAACATAAATTTTTTTTAAATTTTTGGGTGATTTTCAACAGGCTGTATTTCAGTGAAAAATAATCGTACAGGAAATTTAAAAAAAGAGTTTTGAAGCTTGAAAACTCTAGTTTTCAGATTTTTTGGTGAAAAAATTCTTAAACAAAGCTGAAAATAATTTTTTTCTAAATTTTCTAGGTTTTGTTTTTCACTCTATGGGCATGGAAAAATTTTTTCGAGCTACTCCATTGTATAGGTCTCTTAGCGTGTTTATTCAGCTTCAAAAATCGCTTTGGATGGCTCAATTACGACCATTTGTCTCCGAGATATCGAACTTTGAATGCAAAAGCATCCTTTTCCATTCAACTGCTAATATCTCTGGAACTACTGGTCGCACAGCAAGCGGGCGCCGAGTTTCTTTATCTGAATAAAATTTCCAATTAAGCACAGTCAAGAGTTAGTGAAGAAAAAATTTTTTTCCACCTCTAACATTAAATTGAAAAAAGTGGAAAAAAGTGACTTTTTCTCCTTTTTTGGTTACTTGGCTGTATCTTCGCTAATATGGGCGGGAAAGCTAAGGTTTGAGGAAAATTTTACAGTCTATTGTTCCTTAAAGAACCCCCCAAATCCCTGGAGCGATCGGTTCAACGGTTTTTCCCGGACCAATTGATTGAAATTTTGGAAAAAATAAGGGAACAAGGTTTTTGTCCCTTAAACTCACCCTAATCCATTCAAAAATCAATAATTTCATTTGTTTTTCACTTTTTACTCAATTTTTTGTTTTTTAAAAATTCATTATCAAAAAAAAAATCGAAAAAAATCAAGAAAATTTTATGCAGATAAAGAAACTCAGCGCCCGCTTGCTGTGCGACCAGTAGTTCCAGAGATATTAGCAGTTGAATGGAAAAGGATGCTTTTGCATTCAAAGTTCGATATCTCGGAGACAAATGGTCGTAATTGAGCCATCCAAAGCGATTTTTGAAGCTGAATAAACACGCTAAGAGACCTATACAATGGAGTAGCTCGAAAAAATTTTTCCATGCCCATAGAGTGAAAAACAAAACCTAGAAAATTTAGAAAAAAATTATTTTCAGCTTTGTTTAAGAATTGCATGGAAACCGGAGCTCAAAAAATTTTTTCACCAAAAAATCTGAAAACTAGAGTTTTCAAGCTTCAAAACCCTTTTTTTAAATTTCCTGTACGATTATTTTTCACTGAAATACAGCCTGTTGAAAATCACCCAAAAATTTCAATAATTTTTATGTTCCCTTAATTTTTGCGAGGAGTGTATTTGTATTCATAAACTGTTTCAATTGCTCTGAACATTTTCTGCATGTTTTAAGTACATAATTATTGTACATATATACTGTGCATTGATGTATTTAAGAATATCTATTAGATATCTAGTACCCATAGTACATAACTCTGCTTATTTTAAATAACTATATAAAATATTGAACACAATACACTTAAACTAAGTAAAGCTATTAATTGTCCCATACTATATTGATTTTTGAAATATCCCATAATAATAAGCATCTAAACATTTATGTTATCATTCATTACATAGATTAATTCAGCTTGTTACACCAGATAAATTAATATTTTCCATAACATTCTTATCATATTGTCAACATTGCTGTCATGACATGACAAATTAGCAAAGCATGTGCTTATTTCAATTATTTAATTGTTTATTTCAGATATAACTCCTCCATAGAAGGTCAGAAAAAGAAAAATCAAAGAAGAAAAAGCAAAAAACGAAATCAGGAGCAGCGCAAGAGTGAAAGTGAGGCTGAGGATGATGTTACCAACTCAAATATGGTATATATATACATTAATTACATAACCTGAATAATATAACTATTTTTATACATAAATAATAATGCATTTTTCACCAGAAAAGCATGACTCAAAAATAATGAATATGAATATTATCAGCCTCATTCAGCGCATTCAGATTATACAGAAGCTTGAAATTTTTTTGTCTTATTAAATTTGATTCAATATGTTTGTTCACTCTAATCTTTGAAATTGTTCAACCAATTTTAATAAAATTTGATAAGTGTATATTGCTTCCTCCAACTTGAGATATAGGAGTTTTTATCCCAATAAGAAAAATGCAACCAGTAAGCAGCAGTGAGGGAAAAACAATGTTTACAGTAATAAACAAAATAAATTTGTTCATATAAATATAGGTATTCTCATGAATATCATATATGCATTATTGTATGGTGCAGGTAACAGCTAACATTTGGTCAGTTTTTACTGTAAAGTATATACTGTATCAAGTAAAATTTTTGGAGTTGAATCTAGTAATCATAACTTTTGGCTATCAAATATTAAGTTATGTTACCTGTAAATTTTTTTATGGTTTAAATAACCCGTCACATTTGCATACTATGATAATAATATTCTTATTGGAAACATATATATATATATATGTTTTGTCTACAATAATTGTGAACGTATATAAAACAAAACACTGTATAATAATGCAATGTAATATTGTAATACTTTAAAATATTATCTATTTAGGCCTTAAATGTTCCCAGATGATGTATATAGCCAGAGGCAATAGTCATCTGTTGTATTAACTTTCTCAAGTACATTATTGATTCCAAATTTGCTATAGTCTAAGATAGATAATGTTAAATTATTTTTATTTATTAATTGAGAATTAATGAATGAGAATTTATTGTTTAATGAAATTAAATTGACATACACAATTTTAGTTGTCCACATTTCAACATAAATATTAGCACAGATAATGCTATACAATCACATCATAATACTATACTTATTAATATTTTAGTTATAAGGCAGTGTAGTGATTAAACCATTAAACTACATCTCTTATAGAATACTATGTTTCTAACAATAAATTCTATTTTGTTGTAGACTTCAAAACCAAGATTGAAATCTGCTCTCAAACTAAGACGTGACAGCGGACTCGCCGATACCTCAGATGCTGAAGCTGACTGTAAAACGACGCCACTGGATTCACCCATTTCCCCATCCACTTTCAACATTCCCACTAATAGTAATAAATCTACCAACATATATGATGATGACTTCAAAGATAATGTAGATGAGAAGGAGAAATTTAAGTCTATTTTAAACATAGATTACAAAGCAAAAGCTCCATCAGAGCCTACGATATGGGAATCAGCAAGTGAATCCACAAAAACACCAAAAAGACAAGATGATTCTAAATCATTTAATAAGATTACCTGTGATAACATCAAACATAATACAAATCTTTACAACCCAGATAACTTAAATAAAGGCCAGTACCTAGAGGTAGCGTTTAAAAACGATCTCATATTTGATTTGGATATGTGAGGTTTGCAATTTCCATCTATTCAGTTCAATTATTTTCTGTTAAATTTATTAAAAAATTATATATTATTGAAATACTTTGAGTATTTAAAAGAAAATGTAGTATTTGGATTTTGTAATTGTTTGAAGTTCCTTTGCATTGTGAAGATACTTAAGAATTGTTTGTTGGATGTGCTAGTTTATGGCAATGGTTTACATTAATTATATAATTTTCTTAAAATTTTAATCCCAGTGTGTTCAACTATAATAAAGTCAATTAAATTATATTTTACAGATTTGAAAAAATAATATCATTCAAAATGATAAAATGTTGGCATGCAGAAATAATTTTCATTATTGATCTTAATTATTTTTAATTTTTAGCCATGTTAAAAGTAAAGTTAAAAGTAGATTTATCTATAATCATTCAAATGAAGTTATGCTCATTTTAGACAATATTTGGTAGAAAAATTGCATTTAAATGGTACAAACTAGATACGTAATTTACTGATGTTATATAGGTCAAGTGCTAGGAATTTATTTCTGAATAAGAATCTTGAGCCTAAATTTTATTTGTTAAATTGTTTAGTCTAATACTGCACTACATACACGATTTAGAATTTAGGTTTGCCCACTAAAGAATTTAGAAACGGCCTAAGCAAGGATGCTAGAATCTGTTTGCTAATATTGTATGTTTCAGTGGGTAAAATATAACACTTGCAGTTTTGTAAGTAACATTTTACACATTCACCAAAATCTTTTTTATACCTCTACTTATATTTATATACTTAGCTGATCTTGATCTGCCTCGCAATTATTGTATTTTTTTTTCTAAATTCCAGTTATAGAACCAGTTATTAATTTACAATTAAATTATTCTTGTGCCTTTAGTCTTTAAAAATATATTTATAAATAACTAAAAGTTAAACCAGTGTTTATATTAATTTGGTATATTTAACGTCTGTTGTCATAAACAATGCATATTATTTAATATTTTATAATATATAACAATAACTATGGTGTATGAATAATATAATTTATGTTTTGTGTAAGATACTATAAGGTTCTGAAAGATTGTGATTTTGTGAACGTAGTATAATATACTAGTTTACTGAAGGATGGTTTTTTAATTAACACTGGCTTTATTTTGTCTTTAGTGAGATAGACTCACTCTGACTTATGTCCTTTTTTTTTTGATGAGTTAAAATAGTATGGTAACCCCGCCTGCGTTAACGGAATACACTGGCGGAGCACCAGTGAAGGGTGATAGATGAGAATGAAAACAGGCCAGTTAGCCCATCATGATGAATTCATCAGGAATTAAACATGATAATTTCCAGGGAGAACCGCGAGGAGGTCGACCTGGTTGGGTATATTGCTAGCAATGGGATTCTCAGTCTCCATTACTAACAATCCCTCCCCCCCATGTCATTATGTTACATCTCTTTTATATTAACAATCAATATATTTTATAGTCTAAGTTATACCCTATAACTGGCATACATTTGTATCACCTCATGTAAGGCTATATGTGTGTACGGTTTTTAAAGCGTTGACCTTAAAAATATAAACTTAAAAAGAGCTGTCCTACTTGTGTAATTAGCGTTCACTAAGCGGGCATACCTTCCCAAGAGGTAAAAAGCAATGTGAAAAGTATTTTTTAAAGAAAATAATTTCAACAGACGTAACCGGAGAGATCATTTATTCTCGCAATTTCTCCCAGAAAGGTACTTAAGTGTTTTCCTCGATCATTAGTTATCTTCATACCAAAGCTTTTAATTTTGGATATATTGCTAGCAATAGAGCCCTTAGTCTCTATTAGTAATAATCCCTCCCCTCGCCCCTTCTATATATAGTTCTTTTATTATTGTGAAGTGAAAATTACTACTGTAGACCATAGACATAGTATAACGTATACTATATATCGCAGGCCCACAGTAGTAAATTCAAATATTTTCTATGAAAGATACCGTCATTTAATTACGCATCAAAGAGCATCATATTTCAAAACATTACTAGTATAACATACTTAGTATAATGTACTTATATAAACTAAACATACTTTATAATCTAAGTTTGTAAATTACTTAAGTATATTCATCCCGTAAAGACATCATATAATCAAAACTTGAACGTAAATCGTAGTTATGTCTGTTTTTATTAGATTATTATAAATTTACAACAAACTTCTGTTCAATCAATACGCAATAAAATATAGAGTAATTTATCTGCTAAAACTAATTAAGCAAGAGTAATTACATTGAACAATGGCTTGAGGCCCAGAAGTGAAAGATATTTAGGTAAGTTTCTACTCCGGAGTTTTCGATACAAATTGTTTTATTAGTCCACCACTAAAGTATCAACTAGCTTTCGCCCGCTACTTCGTCCTCGTGGCCGGAACATATTTATTGACTGCGATAAAAAGTAGCCTCTATCCCATATAGTACGGACTGTAGTCATCCATCCTAGTTGGAACCACGGTCGGGGTTGCTTAACTTACATTAGCGATACGACCTCTAACCAGTCACTCATCCCTTATTGTATTATATACTATAAGGGATGAGTGACTGGTTAGAGGTTATAATTATGTACCTAATACCGTCATAAAGTTTCAGCCATTTCAACTGATTGTTTATTTTATAACAGTTTATATGTGATTCTTTAGATTGATATAATAATATTTTATTTATTTCTGAATCGATCCAAATAAAACAAATACTAAATGTTAAGTAGAGCAAACTGCAATACATTAGTGAAATCCGCATTCAAATCAGTTAAGCCATTTCATTAGCTATGAAAATAGAATTTAAAATATTCGTGTAGAGTAAAATCCGTCAATCCCTTTAGATATATATTATTATAATGAAGTCGGTTAATAATAGTAGAATTTTATATATTAAAAAGAACACTCATTAATTTTTAAAGTGATTTTACTGGACACGAACATTCTAAAATCTAAAGTCACCGTAGATAATATTTCGATGACTATGTAAAACATTTATTACAGGCAGAGGTCATTTATTTGCTCAAGTTTTTTTTTTATTTTATGCCTAAGCTTTATGCGTTTTTATCTTTGTGATTGTCAATTTAGCTTTTTTAACTGTGTCTGTATAATAATAATACATAATGTTTGTGAGTTTAATTCCGGTTAGATGAGGTTAAATTTATTCATTAAAATTTCCATGACGGCTTGGTTAGGTAAATTCTATTCGATATAAAAAATGTAGGCGGTTTAAAATACTTAGGCAGCAGTTGTTTATTTAACTAATCGTTGAAATAGTTCAAACTGAGAATAGGATACGAAAATCAGACAACAGTCGCTTGTTTTAATTTATTGGAACAGAACTTCACCACATGTAGGTTTTCTGCATCAGAAACCGAATTTGTTTCTAAATTGAAAACGCGACGTTTCACAAGATTCCTGAATTGCCAATGCCATTTTTTTCTTTCAGATGCCCATACTAAAATCTGTCAATATTCTAAAATATTTAAAAATGCTGGAACAACAACCTAAAACGTTAATAATGCAATGAGATTTGTATTAAACTGTCACAAAAAGTATTTTAGATATTTCTAAAAAATGTAGTTAAGATTAACGTTTTAGTACACTATAAGATTATTTTAAAGTTAGGGGCAAGTAAAACCAAATATGTACATGTAAAAAGTATTTAGTTAGATAACTAAATTAAAACATTCTGACAAGTTCTTGGGAAACCGATTTTTCAAGACGAGTAAAATTGCCTAATACTATATCTATAATCTTTGGAGAGGGTTATGCTCGGAGTCTCTTTGCGTGAAAGAATCCGAAACGAGGATGCCCGCAAAACTAACGCAAACTAGATGGAGCGACGACCTGAAATACATTGCAGGGAGTCAGTGGATACAGGTGGCTCAGGACCGTTCTTTATAAACAGTCTATGGGAGATGCTTATGTCCAGCAGTGGAGGGAAAATGGCTGAAATGATGATATCTGTAACTGGTATAGCGTCTTATTTTAGTTATTAAACTAGTTTCTGTCTAAAAATTACGTATTGAAAATTCAAATTATGTAATTGATAATACTATATTAATATTTTTTTTGATGGGATGAAAATGGTATGGTAACCCCGCCTGCGCTAACGGGATACGCTGGCGGAGCACCAGTGAAGGGTGATGGATGAGAATGAAAACAGGACAGTTAGCCCATCATGATGAATTCATCAGGAATTAACCATGATAGTTTCCAGGGAGAACCGCGAAGAGGTCGACCTGGTTGGGTATATTGCTAGCAATGGGATTCTCAGTCTCAGTTACTAACAATCCCTTTCCCCTCACTATATTAATAAAGTTTATTTATTTTAACCAACTGCGTGCCTTGATAGTAAAAATAAATATAAATATGAAAATTCATATTAAATCCGGATAAGTCAAGATAAAGAGAAAATATATATTTATTATATTATTTATGACAAAATTTAAGAAATGTCTTGGTGAAGCGCGGACGCTGCAGTACAATACCTTGATTTATGATGTATAGACATGTACTCTACGAATCTATGTAACTCTCCACGACTCTATAAATTATGGTGGTCAAAGTTTGCCCGTAATTGTCAAGCTTGTGTATAATACAATATAAAACTCATTAAAGGAATACCCACGGTAGACAAAATGTATAATATAGGGCAAAATCGAAACTATTAATAGTATGAAAAACTTAAAAATGTATCCGTGATATTTTAATCTAATGTTCTTTAGATTAGGACAGAAATTTCGTAAAATGAAAATTCAAATACGACAGCAAAATTTTGATTACTCCTCCATGCCAACTCAACAGCTGAACGCGCCTTATTAATATGGGGAACTTTGCATACTTATTTATAAAACATTTATTCATCCTCAATGCGACGTATTGTCAATATTATATTCACCTGTTAAAATTATAATTAAACAAGAAAATGTTCCAAGAGGAATTACATTCATGGCTAATTAAATTATTTCCGCTATAATCAAGATTCTCACAAGGCAACGATATATGCCAATTTCTATACGAAATTATCAAGAAAGCAAAATCGTGTTTAAGGTTTTTAAGCAAACTGTAATGGTTGATATTAAACAGATTTTCATTACATACGAGTTTCGACAATGTTAAAATATGATGCTTACGTGAGATCATTAAACCGTTATTTACTTATCTACTTCATGCATTACATCAACATAATTCCGTATTTTCATTAGCTTCGCTTGGTTTATTTATGAAATAACATAGAACGAGAAATAACATGAATACTTATAGTAAATTCACGTGTTTTGTTTAGGTAGCGGTATAAATCCGTGCAGTAATGAAATTCGTGCAGGCGACCGGATCAACGTCGCAAAACATATTTTCCTTTAGGAATCAATGATTCCATTGAAAATATGGACAAACCTAAATACATATTCACATGGTAAAAATAGGTACATGAAACATTTTAGTGCAATTGAGTTTAGGGATAGACGGAGAGTAAGTTTCTGTATTGTGTTTTAGCATATTCGTAGTAGTTTTGTGTAAAGGTAACTAGTAGGTGGTCACCATCAGCTTATTTATCAGGTATTCATGGAATTTCTACATATTACAACCACAATTAACTTTCATACATATTGCTAGACCGTTGAATTTTATTCCGAGTTTGTATTGTACCTGATTTTCATAATTTTAACCATTTTTTATCAAGATAAATTCTGTTCTTCTTATTTATGATGTAAAAGTCTTTTAATTGCTCCTAGTTATGGTAATTATCCAGAATGCCGTTATTGTTATTCTCCTCTTTACTTCAAAGCCTTCTCGATAGATGAAACGTTCGTATGCTGGTCATGATTTCAAAACACCATTATTGGCGATTATGTTGCTCTGTTATGATCGACGATGTAGTTGTTACACTAAAATGAACTAATTCACAAAGGTAGGCGGTATTAGTTATTTTTAAGAACCATCACTTATAAATTAAATTGCTTTTTTTACATATATACCAACTGAATTTTAAATCTTTTTTTAGCCATAGAATTGACGAAGATATCGAACCTACTTCTGTAATAATATGTTATACACAAAACATCTTTGTTTGAAGTCACTTGAAAATTAAGTAAATAAGTAAAAGATT